AAACGAGCAGGACAAGGAGTAGATCCATCAACAAATCCCATAATCCCATGTCCGTCCAATAACAATTGCATTTGAAATTGCCAATTTAAGTAGTTAGAATCATCCAATTTCACATGAACAGATGCAGAAACAGTGGAAACAAGAGATGTTATGGGAGATTGAACAATCTGAAGTTGAGAAGCAGTCACCATAATTTCGTATATCAATGGAGAAACTTAACATAGGCAATATCACAAACACCTGGCGGGCAGAAAAATTTGTAATCTTGAAGAGAATCGAAGGACAATACTAGAAACCCTAGAAATCGAATGAGAAGAAACCAATCCAATCTTAGAAGAACCATAACACCAAGTGCAGAAATGGCTGTGGGAAGAAGACGAAGAACTCGACGAGCAGCGAGTAGCGGAAGCAACTAGAGGATCGAAGACGCGCAAGCAATTCCGGCGATTGATACCATGTTAAGCATTAGCCATTAACCAAGAAAACGAAGGAAGTTAGAGAGAAACAGAACTTAGAGAGAAAGAGAGAGAGAGAGAGAGAGAGAGAGCGCGTTCGGTAAATGTATTTCTATTTCTTCTTACTTAAGCTATTACATCACACTAGTATTTATAGAGAAGCCATACATCACAACTGCCTCTCCAACAATCCTAACTAATTACTCTTATCTTGAGCTGACAAGTGGCACTATATCTACCCTTGATTATACTCTAACAGCATGCTCGAAACCCGCTATGTCTAGAAAGTCCCGAATATGGCAATGACTTTTAAGCCAATTTCCCGTCACCTCTAACCAAGTTTTGTTCTCTCAAAAAGGTATAAAAACGTTCCCCTCGTCCTAAGTTTCATTTTGATACCTCATGTGGGAAAAATGGTTAAGAAATGACTCTGTTGTGTTATTTTAGAAATTTCCGACGAAAATCCCATTCTTGTGCAAATTAGGGGAAATTAAGTTTATTACTTTGATTATTATTACTTTATTGATTAGCGCAATAATTTTCTGTTTAGGAGAGGACCATCCGAAGGTGTACCGTGAGCACAATAGTTGGACGGGTACATATACCTGTGAGTGGGTATTTGCTTTTAAATATTATATATTTATTTAGTTTTCATTTATATATTTTCTACGTTACGTCTAGATTAGATTAACGTTTATAAGAATTAGTGTATTGACGGAATTTATGAAATTATGCTACATCCTACAGGATGCACATGTATGCGTATTATTATGGGTTACCTTAATTATATCTACGACCATGAATAGTATTGTTGACTAGAATTATCGATTTTATCGCTGCAAGGATTATATTTACATTATTTGCTCATCGTGTGCTACACTGGTGTTTGTACTCACTCGGGCCAAGGCCAGGCTTCACGTGTATGTTCATATCGTATCGTACTCTCACTTTGGATCTATTGTAAGTGTCAGTCTTGTCTTAGATTGCGATAGGCAGTTAAGACTTATATGTGATGTGCATAGCGCTAGTCTTCACGTGATTGTGGTACTAGAGCGTAAATCATTATTACACTCAGTTTTATTCATGTCAGAATATCTATGCATGAACTTGTGTGTCAGCATATGTCGATGAGCACTCGATATGCAAGATATTGTGATTACCAGATGCTAGGTGTTTATTTACGAAATATCATGAAGTATTGCATTCTCGGAATATTACTGTTTATGGTAAGTATTTTCATATTATACGTAGTATATTATGTTTGGAAACTATACTTGTTTTACGGTAAGGAGTTATTACATTTTCAAAAAGGTTTTACAAAATTTTATTTTTAGGCTCATGCACCCTTGTTTTTTGCCCCTCCAAGAGTTAGCGGCAGTGTTCATGTTGACAAGGATTTCTGGCAAACGCTAATATCGGAGACTACTTCCGATGGTGCAGTTCTTATTCTAATTTTATTGTACTTTACTTATGCTATGACATCACATGTGAAATTAGTTCATTCCCGCTCACAAGTGCACTTGTACATTTAGGCACGTTAAGGTTTAAATTTACTCACATTTCCACATCACTACACTTTATGGTTTAGTCACCTTTCTGGTGTCGACTAATACAACTCAATTCGAAGTTCAGGTGGACATTTCGGGTCGTGATGTGTTATCACTAAGTACATTAGTACAATGAATAATACTTGCATTCTCGATAAGGAGAATGTCATATTTCAACATTTGTGAATAATGTATCTTAGTGATATAAATATCATAATTGGAATTGTTCAATTTTTTATTCTTCATTAAAAATCATTACTACAAAAAATATCATTCGAATTGGAGATCATTTATACATACAAACGTATGAAACAAATCAACAGTGTGAATGTGAAGTACTATACTCATAATCAACCGTCTATTAATTTGATACATTTGGATAACTAGTTTTGATGGGAATGAAGTGAATAGAAGAAAACATAAACACTAATTACAATTATTCTTTTTGTTCAATAAAAAAAGGCTAAACTGCCAATTTGCCCTCTGAATTATCACTCAACTTTTGATTTCCTCCTTGAACTTTTTAATTGGATGGAATGAATGAAAAATTAACAACAGGGGGTAAATTGGCCAAAAAAATTAGTTTAAATCCTTAATTTTTCAATTAAAAAGGTCAGGAGGGAAATTGAAAGTTAGGTGGTAGTTCAAGAGGCATATTGGCAGTTTACTTATAAAAAAATAGTCTTTTATCATACGCTTACGCATGTCGTAATTGACTATTTTATATTTCTGTCTTCTGTTTTAATTTTAGTTACTTTCAATAAATTTTATATTAAATTTTTTTTTTTAGAAGTAATAAACTAAGTAACCAATATTATGAAAGCTTCATGCTTTTGTCTTGTCCCTTTATATATGTAAATGCATATAATACCTTCTTGAAGCAGCTGCTGCGACTAATAAGAAGCTTCCCATATTCTTCAAAAAGGTTTAACCTCCTCTACTGCAAGAGAATCACTTCCTAAAGTGGAGACCTTCGTTCTAACTTCTTCTTTTAAATAGTTTAGGAGTTGTTTGGAAGGTGTATTACACGAACACCTCGTGTGGTTTATTAAGTTTTTACAAAACTCCCTCACATTTGAGACATTACATTAACATCCTCTCATGTTTTAACGTTTTAATTCAATTTCACATACTCCCTTCGGTCAAAATTTTGCTAATAAATTGACAAGTTTAACCTTATAACTAGTTAATTAAATAATAGAGAAAATATTTTTTAAAAATTAATTTTTTTACGCCGTCTCACCATCGCCACGTTCATCCCTTTCCTCTCCCCCGCCCCACCCTTTCGAAAAAGGTCCAATCTTTGTTCTCTGTATGCATGAACCATACACATGGTCCAGAACATAATGTAGTATTTCCAGATGAGATTATATGCAAAATTTGAGAAACAAAGAACCCAAAATCCAAAAATGTCGAAAAAAATAAGATTTGTGAACCTCATCTCTCACCACTTCCCATTCCCCAGCGCGCTCCCACCCAACCATCCCAACCCAATCTAGATTAGTCCCGCTCCCTCCTCGGATTGTGGTTCCAGATCATACAACCCATAGAATACATGGGTTGCTTTTCATGGCCATGGCGGCGCCAGAACTCTCCGGTGCCAACAACAATGCAGGGTTTTCCATAGTGGAATGATCAATCGATGGCTTTTTCTTCTTCAAATATATGACTTATGCTTGGTGGAGGAGTTGAAGGATTTGGGCAGTGAGCAGGCAGGGGAGAATGGTGGTGGTGTGAATAAGTCAAAGAAAGAAAGAGAGAGGGAGAAGTTTTTAATTTATTTTTCTAATATATTTCTTTATTATTTAATTAATTCGTTATAAGAGTAAAGTTGTCAATTTATTAACAAAAGTTTGACTAAAGAGGTTATGTGAAAGTGAATTAAAACATGAGGAAGTGTTAGTATAATGTCTCAAATATGAGGGAGTTTTGTAAAATTTTAATAAACCTCAAGGGGTGTGTGTAATTAACCTTTTGTTTGGAAGTACTTTTAAAATTGTTGAAAACCTTTTTTGTGAAATTTTTTTTTTGAACAATATTTAGTAAAATGCAAGTGAATCATCGAAAAGTACTTGAAGTGCTTCTTACAAGAAACATATAATTTGTACTTCTTGTAGGAAGTACTTCAAGTTTTTTTTAACCCACAAACATTTTTTCGACGACAACGATGTATTTACACGAAGGATTACATGATTCAGTCTAAAGTCACACAATAAGTCAGTCATAATAGTTTGACTTGAACTCGCCATCAACAAGAATTGAACCTAACACCTGCAAAGTCCACTCTCTCATCAATATGAGATTTATTCTCAACACGCACCTCACATGTTGGCAAATTGTCAAGCCTAACACGTGGACAACACAAATAAGTACATGGAGCACATGTGGCAGTTGACATCACACATGGGACAACCTATTTTTGATACCATGTAAAAAGTTAATGTTCCACCATGTAAGAATGTGATGGCAAAGTTCCCCATATTGCAAATTGATTCTTTTTTCTGATCAACGTTAAATTCATTCTCAACACGTTTAAATAAAAAAAATTTAGATTCGCAATTGAAAAATAAACAAATAAAACACATTATACGCTTCTTTTTTTTTTGTCAAATACGTTATACGCATTAAGAATGTGGATTTGCCAAGACAGTTATTTTGGTTTTAGTAATAGATGCCAAAGTTAAATACGTACGAGACAATGTGATGTTCAGATGTTCAAAGTTTTATCGCAATAAGGGATGGAAAACTTGAATTTGTCCCCTAAACATAGGTCGAATTCCACGCTGCCTTCAATGGCCCCTCTAGTTTCACTTCACTCATTTGTTGCACTCACTTTGTCCTTCACCATCAAAATATATCAACCAAAAGACGTTGAAATTGCCGAAATCGCACAAACGCGCACGACTTCTGCAAATAATAAATAAACCAAAAGTTCCTATTAAAAGTTAGAGGAAAACAACAACCTAGTACTACAATCGGACAATATTTTTCTTCATTGGTAAGTAAAAGATCTTATGTTCAATTATGTCTATTGCGAGCTCAAACCAATTATTATAACAAAATCCATTGCGTGCCTTAGTCCAAATCCCCTACCCTTAAGTGTAGATATATCGAAGTATTCAAAATAAAAACTTAAACAAATAGAGAGGAGATTTTTTACTTAAGAACCGGTTCACGCCTGTATACAAACTCGTCAACAAAAAGGATTTCCTTGACAAATTATGTGACCAATGTCATAAGCTCTTAGTTTTGTGATGCTACTTGATTCATACCTGTCGAGAGACTTGCAAATTTTACAATTTCATGCTCCCCTGTAATGGGGTGATAAGGCCATCAGAACCCTTGAGACAGATTGATGTATGGGATCTCCTTGTTTTTCTTTTCTTTCAATTTGACGAAGCGATAGCAGTGTCGGATTGGATTCTCTCATGCAACCGATACAGCAGAGTGGACTTCGACATCTGAGGTTCCCTTTCCAAGACAACAATCATATCCTTGACTGATATACTACGAGCCATCCTTGTCTGAGTCGTGGTAACTTGGTTACTTCCGGCTTTTCTGGAAGTAGCTGCGCAAAGAATAAACACATAAACGGGCAATTAACAAGGCACCAAATGAAAAACATTCACAACAAACATCCAGCCAAAATATAGACTCTGAATTATGGATGGCAAACGGGAATTTGCCAAAAGAAATGAAAACTAAAAAGCGATTTTGATAAAGAAACAATTATAACACTGCTTGCATCCTGGGTAAAAGCATTAGAAGGATGGTTATGTTACTCTAATCAAAACAAAGGTGCTCCTTGGTGGAAGCCACACCTGCCCTGTTTTAGTTTCGGAGATTAACAAAAGGATTCTCGTGCAGACAGCTGTCAAGCCGATTTCCTTGCATTCAAAGAAATTGTAAACAAAAGTAGTACACATTGCACAAATAGAAGCAAATTTGTGGGCATGGCACTCAATAAACTTTTGTAGTCCGAGGCGATTACACCAATATTCAGATAATTATGTGTAAATGAATATATGCCAACTCGTCCACTTGTATGAAATGAGAAGAGTTGTATTATGTTACTCGTGTAAATCCAAGATGTGTGCATTTGCCGTTAGCATCAATCTTATAGAATAAATCCCCTTTGCTGATTCACTTTGTTTGCCAAGGAATAATGAAATCTGAAGGTACTGACATATGGCTACTATATACTTACCAAATCATTTATTTGACAAACGATGTAGCTAAATGATACTTACCAGCTGCAGCAACAGGAGCAGCAACACCCTTTTTCTCTGCTTCTTCACTCTCCATAATTCTTCCAGCTGTAGATGTAGGTGTGCGGTTTACACCTTGAACTGGCTGGGATCTAGATGCTGCATCAATCTCACCATCACGTTGTTTCCGTGCTTGTGCCATAAGTTTCCATTTTGAGAACATGTCATCTCCCCCAACGGCCGCAAGGGCAGCAACATTTGCTGCTGCTGCTGTCCTCATTTTGTCATTGTCCTTTTTGTTTGTCTGCACCAAGTCGGAAGCCACAGAAGACTAAATGATCTATTGGTTTTAGATGTATACCTTTAAGGCTGAGTGAATTCCTCATACCTTAAATGATTTAGGATGGCCTTCATCCTTCTCCTTATCATACACATATACTCGTAAATGTATGTAATATATAGTTTGCACTAGTAGCTTATCATGTGTCGTCGTACCCAGTGCACAAGGCTCCCGCTTTACGCAGGGTCTGGGAGAGGTGAATGTCGGCTAGCCTTACCCCCATTTATGGAGAGACTGCTCCCAAGTCTCGAACCCGAGACCTACCGCTTATCATGTGTGCATTGTAAAAATATGAAATATAATGTTTAAAGGGAGACTCACTTCATTAAGCTTCCAGAGCTTTTCTGCCTCAGCCCGCTTCTTTTTACGTTCTTCTCTAGGCTTCCGATTGAGATCAATAATTTGTTGCCGAACATCAGAGGTAGTAATAGTGTGGTGTCTTGACTTTTCAGCATCAACCCACTAGCACAAGGACATTGAATCGAAGTAAGGAAATATATAATGCAAGAGAATTCCTGTTCAGCAGGAACAAAAATTGAAAAACAAACCTGCCTTGACAGTAGGATCAAAGTATTTATAAGCCTCCTCATCCTTTCTTCAACACACTGAAGATTAAGTTGGCAGGGGAATAAGATAACGTGTGAGTTTTTCATAATAATAAAGAACATGGTAGTTAGCACCTCACCATTGACAAGCATCGCTCTACATCGTGTCGTACACTTTTCAAACCGCATTTGACCACTATCAAAGACACATGTGTAAGTCCTATCATGTTAATATTACTTTTCGTGAGAGGAACACTGTTTAAGAAGTTTATCATAAAATAAAAAAGTTAAAAGACACATCTATGATAAATAGATAAGCAAAGAATTATAACTGATTTCCCCTATCTTTTTCTGCAATGGAGCCTTCTGCAAAATCAGCCTTTCCTCTTCTTCTTGCACAAATTTTCGAGAGGCTTCTGAAGCTTTACTATGCTTCTTGGGCCCTGAAAATAGCAGCTCTTCCTCTTCCTGTTTTCATCAAGAATTTCAATGGGTTCTGACTTCTGAGCAAATTTAAACAAAAGAGGTGTCGATTTTCACTTACTAAAACTCCATAATATAGAAGAATTGAAGATGTCAACAGTGTACCTCGAGATTGACTCCACTGACAGAAGTGACATCATTCAGTTCTGCTATATCAACAAAGGTCCCAGATACTTTTTGCTTCTTACTGAGGAGACCCACAACATAAGAAAGTTATAGGGAAATAGAGAATGAGATTATTCAAACTGTGACACAACAATTAAATTTTATTTTACCTTGATTGCGATGGTGATGAACCAAGTGTTTCGAGTGGCTTGTTTTGGCCAAGAGAACGTTTTTTTGGAAGGGTTTTCTTACAAGCCCCAGAAGGAGAGGTTCCAGATGTTATCCGAGGGCCTAACTGGTAAGAATGCCAAGCAGAAAAGACATCAGCCATTAATGAAGTGGAAAGATCATCCTGTTCATACCAAGTGAAAATCGACTTTTAAAGACAAACATATTGCAGGACAAAGTAAACTGCTGAAGGAAGTTAAAACATGAAACTAGCTCATCCAATAAGGCGCATCAAAACAATATAATGAGGAAACAAGTGTAAAGGATAGTATTGTAAAAGACTCAGTTAGTGATAAAACTTAGAGTTGGTTAATTTTTTGAGTTTGTTATATTAGGTGGCAAGTTAGTTATAAGGTTAGAGTTATGTGAGAGAGTGAATAGTTGTATATAAACAACAATAGTGTAACTTTATTGATTCATTCAATGAAATTCAGCTTTCCTAACATGGTATCACCCGCCATTTGTCCACCGACTTGATCCAAATCCTACACTTTCCCGCTCAACGCTTCTCTGCTAGGCTTTCCCGCTCAAAGCTTCTTTGCTAAGCTTTCTTCCAAACCCTAATTTCTTCCATGGCCGCCTCTGCTTCTCCTTCCTCTGAGTCGGCGACGCAGATTCATCCTTCTTCTCTCTCCAATTCCAGTTCTTCTCTCTCTACACCTTCAATTACGATCCAAAATATTGGATCTATGGTGCCAATCAAGCTGACCACAACCAATTACCTTACCTGGAGTGCACTGTTTGCTCCGATCTTCCATCGCTATAACCTCACCAGAATTCTTGATGGCTCAGTACCTCCTCCACCTCAATTCACCTCTAATGCTGCTGGAAATAGAATCTTGAATCCGGAATATGTTTCTTGGTTTGAGAATGATCAGAACATCCTAATCTGGATCAATTCCATGCTCTCTGAATCCATCATTCCTTACACTGTTGGAGTCACCACATCCAGAGAGCTCTGGGCAAAATTGGAGTCGCGCCTCGCGACGGCCTCTCAATCGCACATCCATGAGCTCCGATCACGTCTGCGCAGCATCTCGAAAGGCGATTCCACTGCCGCTCACTATCTTCAACAGATCGAAGAAATTGCTGATGCTTTTGTCAGTGCTGGTGCTCCGATTGAAGATTCCGAACTCATTTCCGTTACTCTTCATGGTTTACCACCAGAATATGAGTTGTTTGTTGATGCAATTCAATTCCGGCTTGGTTCCACCACTCTTGATGAACTTCATGGTCTTCTTCTCAGTAAAGAGATTCAGGTGACAAATCGGAAGAAAGTTACTTCATCTGTGCAAATTCAGGCCTTCAATTCCACCGCTGGCATTCTTCCTACTCCCCCGTCTCAGGCGTTTGTTGTTCAACATACATCACAAGGTCGTGGTGGTGATCGCCAGTTCTCAAGCCCTAGACATTTTCAGGGACGAGGCAATTTCAAATCTAATAACTATCGATCAAATTCATCTCGTAACAACTATCAAAGGGACAATCATGGTGGTCGATCCAATTCAAATTTCTCTGGAAGAAAGATTCCATGCCAAATTTGTCGTCAATATGAGCATGATGCAATTGAGTGCCCTCAGCGCATGAATCCACATTATTCCAATCACTCCAGCACTGTTTCTCCTTTTGATATGGCTGCAAGCACACAATCAACTCAACCTACCTGGATTGTTGATTCTGGCGCTAGCAATCATATGGCAAATTCCTACAAGACTTTGCAAAATCCAAAGCCTTACTCCGGACCTTAGCAAGTTTACATTGGTGATGGCAAAGGTTTGCCTATTATTCACTCTGGTTCCTCTACATTACTTACTCCTCATCACAAATTTCAACTTAGTAACGTGTTACATGTTCCTGATTTGAAACACAATTTGCTTTCTGCAAATTAGTTTCTTGTTGATCATTGGTGTTCTATGCATCTTTATCCCTTTCACTTTGCTGTGAAGGATATTTCTTCAGGGGAGGATGCTTTTTAAAGGTCCTGTAAAAGATAGTTTCTATCACTTTCAGCCACCATCTTCTAGCTCTATGCTCAGTCCTCATAATGCTCTTGCTGCTTCTGTTCATGCTTCCAGAGATCTTTGGCATCAAAGACTTGACCATCCTTCTCTGAAGATATTAAATAAATTGGCTGCTAAATCTTGTATCTCTCTGTCTAGTGGCTCAAACAAGTCTATTTGCCATAGTTGTGCCTTAAGTAAAAGTTCTAGATTGCCATTTACTCTTGTCTCTTGTTATACAAGTAAGCCATTAGAGCTACTACACACAGATGTTTGGGGCCAGCATCTGTTACCTCTGTGAATGATTTCAGATACTATGTCATCTTTGTTGATGACTTTACAAAATATTGTTGGTTTTATCCCTTGTAATATGAATCCGATGTGTTCTCTACTTTTGTTAAATTCAAAGGTCTTGTTGAGAATCTGCTTCATACCAAAATTGTTACTTAGACTCTGGAGGTGAATTTCTTAGCACTCAATTCTCAAACTTTCTTGTTGAGAATGGTACAAGTCATCAACTAAGTTGTCCTCACACTCCTCAATAAAATAGCTGTGCTAAGCACAAGCACAGACACCTAGTTGAGACTGCTAAAATACTGTTAACAGTTTCCAAAGTTCCTCATCCCTATTGGGATCATGCTTTTTCCACTACTATCTTTCTTCTTAATCGATTACCTACTGCCTCCAGATCATCTTTATGGGAATGTTTATTTCACAGATCACCTATCTATACCACTCTAAAAACTTTTGGGTGCAATTGTTTTCCATGGTTACAACCCTATTCCAAATCTAAGCTAGATCCCAAGAGCAAGCTCTGTGTGTTTTTAGGCTATAGTCTCAATCACAAAGGTTACAAATGTCTGGATCTTAGTACAAACCAGTTATATATTTCCAGGCATGTGCTCTTTGATGAAAGCAGTTTTCCCTTTCATAATATTGCAGTTTCTCAGTGTCCTACTCTCCCAAGTGCATCTTTATCTTCCAATACCATTCCTTCTCACCTCACTTCCTCACAACCTTCTACCATACCCACTTCATTTTCTCCATCAACTTCATCCATTCCAATCCCTGCAGCTCCTTCATTATCTTCACCTTTATCCATTCCTCTTAATACCCATCCCATGCAAACCAGGTCCAAATCTGGTATTTACAAACCCAAAGCCTATTCTGCAACCAAGCATCCTCTCCCTTCTCATCTTTCCTATGATTTTGTTCCCACTACCTAAACCCTCAATACTGCATTCTTGCATGGAACTCTCTCTGAATCTGTCTTTATGCAACAGCCCCCTGGCTTTGAGGATGCAGCTCATTCCACTAATGTGTGTCAATTACATAAGTCCCTATATGGACTTAAACAGACCCCTCAAGCCTGGTATGAAAAACTGCATGGTGCATTGAAACATCTTGGATTTACTGGATCTCAGTCTGATCACTCCTTGTTTGTCAAAAAGGACCCCATGGTTTTTGTCTTGGTTTATGTTGATGATATCATTGTCACAGGACCATCCACTGCAGCCTGAAAGCATGTTATTTCTCAACTCAGCTCACTCTTTCCTATCACAGACCTTGGTTCTCTTCACTGTTTCTTGGGTATTGAAGTTAAGAGATCTTCCAAAGGCATCTTTATTTCACAAACCAAGTATATCTTGGATCTTTTGAAGAAGGCTCACATGGATGGATCCAAACCATGTGTAACTCCTCTCATTACATCTAAGTTGGATCACTCATCTCCATTGCTTGAAAATCCTGCAGAATACCGATCTTTAGTTGATGCTCTACAGTATCTAACCTGGACTCGGCCAAACTTATCTTTTGCAATCAATCTTGTCTGTCAGTTTATGCACAGTCCAAGGCAATCCCATTTTCAGGCTGTCAAACGAATTCTCAGATATCTCAAGGGGTCTATTGACATTGGTCTTTGGTTTTCCAAATCCACATCTGTTCCAGGTCTCAAAGCCTTCTCTGATGCTGATCGAAGATCAATTGGGGGTTACTGCATTTTTACGGGATCTTCTCTCATGAGTTGGAGTGCTAAGAAGCAACAAACCGTTGCTCGTTCTTCCACAGAGGCTGAGTACCAATCTCTAGCAAATACTGCAGCTGAAATCACATGGATATGTCAGTTGATTACTGATATTGTCCTCAACTCGGGTGTGACAATCAATCTGCAATCTCTCTTGCTAAGAATCCTTTGTTTCATGCTAGAACAAAGCATGTTGAGATTGATTACCATTACATCCGAGAAAAAGTGTTGTCAAAGGCCATTTCAGTTCATTTTGTTTGCACCAAAGATCAGATTGCAGATATTTGCACCAAGTCAATATCCAAAGACAGATTTCATCTTTTACGATCCAAATTGTCTCTTCGTACTCCTCAGTTCAGTTTGAGGGGGGATGTAAAGGATAGTATTGTAAAAGACTCGGTTAGTGATAAAACTTAGAGTTGGTTAATTTGTTGAGTTTGTTGTAATAGGAGGCAAGTTAGTTATAAGGTTAGAGTTATGTGAGAGAGTAAATAGTTGTATATAAACAACAATAGTGTAACTTTATTGATTCATTCAATGAAATTCAGCTTTCCTAACAACAAGGGGGTGTATTATTACTGATTAATGAACAACTACACTCCAAACCAGTTATATGTCATATCATCCGTGAGTCATGAGAAATCGGATAAACATTACAGGACATAAAGATACAAAATACATATTTTCTGCTTTACGACCATTGCAAAAGAGCGCCACAATAGGAGTAGCCACTCTCATGTACGTAGTTCTATAAATAGTTCTCAATAGAGTACACTTCAGAAAACACATCAATAAAAATATAGGAAGTATCTATCATGACCAAACAAAAGCATATGTAGAGGAAAATGTAGATGAGGGGAATGGAATTACCGAGACACTAGGATTGACTTGCATCGTGAGGGAAGGAGAAACAGAAATTGTGGGCAATGTGCTTTTAGATGATGAAGGAGCAATGCTTACAGATGTTGAAGCGCCTAATCTAGAAGACTTCTCTAAGACTTCATTCATTGGAATTCCAGATGATGCATTTCCCTGTTCAAGTAGTGCAGCAGAAACAGAAGGCAATCCCTGTGAATCAGGCAATGAGGGGTTGTGTTGCTGCCTAATAGTCTGATTAAACGATCCCTGTTTGACATATGCCATTGATGACAAGGGATCGGAACTCTGCTCTTTATTTGACGATTTACAAGGACCGGGATTCTGTTCTAAAGTAGCATTATTGTTCAAGTGAGAACAAGATCCACCTTCCAGTCTACTAGGGTCATTCATAGAATTTTGACTCCCCATTTTGGACATACTAATGATGTTCATTCCATGTGCTTGCCCACCTGACTGAGCAGAACCCATGCTTTGATGTTGTAGACTTTGCCTTGGTTGTGCATCAAAAGGTTGCTGTTTGACAGGCAATGCAGAAGTATTGATCCTTGTCCCTGAATACGGGTGAAAAGTACCACCAGCATTTCCATGCATACTAAGTGATGACTCTGAATAGTGCAATTGTTGTTGCTGTTGCTGTGGCTTGTTAAATACTTGCGTAGGAACTGAGGAGCACTCCCTTTCTTGATCCGAAGCTACCACACAAGAGGGTGGCATTTGACTGACTTGCATTCCATCAGAATCTGAGAGAGATTCTCTCTCTGAAAATTTTCTAGCACTGTTTTCAACTGGATGCCTTGAATCAGTCTGCACCTGAACTGTTGAAGGGGGAATGTGTGATGGGTCAGTGTGAGAATTGGCACCTCTCGGATGAACTTCAAGTGAATGAGGATCCTTCAACTGTGTGGCATCTACACTACTAGATAGCATCCTTGGAGTATGTTTCTGCACTGAGACCTGCATGGTAACCAGTGTATGACTAGGTTGCAAGATTTTCTTGCGGATTTTCTCTTTTGTGATGTGATTTATGTCCGTGTTCCACTTATAAAGCATAGAAGGGGCAACAACTTTGTGCGGACCGCTCTAGTAAGTCACCCAGGACTCAAAGGGCGGATGACAAATAGTATATACAAATATAAGGTGCTAAGAATGCCATCTCATTAAAATATGGGAATAAGGAAAGCGGAAAATTTGTGGTACTCCATAATCCATGAAGAGACTGAGGTGTCAACTTCACTCCCTTGGTTCACTGGTTTTTTTTTTTGGATCAAAGACAATTTCACTCAGAATTCAGCCTTGAAAGGGGCACTACCCACAACCACAAGGGTGCAATACAAGTACACCACCACCATGATAACAATCCCAATGACCCCCGCCCTCCGGAAGTTGTAATTCTAGTTAAAATTTTGTTCTAACTCTCCCTAGTGCATAACATTCAATGAGAGACTCCACCAAGAATACCAAACAAACCCATTTTTGAAAACTAGGTGAGCACAATCCTAAGTTGGAAAACTTACCATAATTTCATCTTAAATCCATTTTGCATGAAATTTAATTTGGATGTCACTCTTATTTTAACATGTAAAAGTCCAATTTCCTTAAAACAAATTCATTCGCCAGTCAGTCTCCAAAATTTCCAGATCATCAAAATTACTAAATCTTACTTATTCTAAACAAATTAAACCTCACTCATAGTGAATCGTCACCAGCACACTCAGTAAACATATTGACTATCAAGTTATCAACACACAACCGACCTCCACAGCACAAGAAGTCCACATAATCAATCTCATGCTTTTATAACATAATCCCAATCAACACATCTGTACAACCAAATTACCCGAAAAACAAAAAAAATATGTAGATCTTTCTAGCCTCCATCTTAAGCCTGTTGAGGTCAATATAATTTTTCAGTACTTTCAATCTCTTAGAATCAAACAGAACTTCATTGTAGTCATAAAAACACATAAATTTCCTCAAGCTCATACCCACATTTCAACAAAATCAAAACTCACAGCCTTTACACCATCATACCATCCTTTTACTTCATCAAAATAATAGGGAATCAGGGAAAGATCTTTTACCTTCCTTGTCTGGTGATCACAATCCTTGCAGCCGCACAAAAATTCAAAAGCAATTTTTTCTGCTCCCAGTAAAACCCTGAAAAAAGATTTAACAAGCAATCCAAAAACACTTAAATTCAGTAAAACCCAGAACAAGCAAAGAAAGTAAAAACAATAACCCATATAACAATTCTTTTTTAAGAAAACTTACTCAACAAGCTTTTTCTTCTCCAACACGCAAATGGCGTTTCGGGTTTTTGTGAGCTCAGAGTTGACAAAACCCGAAAAGGCTTCTGGGTTTTACTCTGGCAGAAGAGAAAATTTCTGGGTCGCTTTCCCTTCCCAATTAGTAAATGAAAAATGGGCGTAACTCGAAAGGGAAAATGGCGATGGGGCTTGCGATGGAGATGTTTTGCTGTTTCACTTCTGATTTTTGGGTGAAAATTACGCTTCGATTTCTGGGTTTCTGGCGATTTTGGGGAAATTAGATTCAATCTCTCCAGTTATGAGAATTAATGTGAACAGCTTGACGACGAGTATTACAGAGAAAATAGTTTTTACCCCTTTGACACTGAAATCTTGAAAACCCTAAATTCGTTGGAGCATTTCGCTTCGGACCCAGAAGAAGAGAAGTTAAGAGAATGAAAAAGGAGGAAGAAGAACCAGAAGCTCAGAGGGTGGGACTCCTCTCTGCCCAGCAACGAAAACTCAATATCATTTTGCTTTTTTTTTTTTTTTTTTTTTGAACTTTGAGGGAGGGAACGATGGTTTTACTGTTGTTATTTCAAATGGAAACTCAAGAGCCACCCCAAGGGCAAATACTCACTTTAAACAACACCGATATTATCTTTAATTTAATAAATATCATCTACATAATCTGTCAAGTGTGAGGATTTATACACAATGCCTTGATGGAGGGAATGATGGTTTGGAGAGGCCCTTTTATATACACACGATACTAAACACATGAAAAACTTTAAATTAAAACAAAACAAAATATTCAAATTGTAAAGGCTTAATTGAATTATTAGTCTCGTGGTGATATGATAGTTGAAAGATAGTCTTTGTCTATAATTAATGGAGAGTTAATGAAATTATCAACTTTGGACCTAAATCCTAACAAACTTCACCGTATGAGCTTAAATCTTAGTTTTTCTTTTTACCACATAAGCTATCTTCCAACTACCCTATCACCACGTAAACTAATAATCCAATTAGGCCAATTCTATAAATAGTTGGTAGTTGCTCCCATTTTCATTGATGGGTCATAAAGTTCAAATTTTACCCACAGTACTCTAAAATTTTATCGATTTATACTTTTTTCTACTTTTTGGTTTTTTTTTAATGTCTAATTCTCTATTAAATTGATGAGTTATCTTGTTAATTTGGTGAAAATGCGAATCACATGTTAGTTCATATAAGAGTCTCAAGATCACCAAGTTATTTAGGGCTAGGCACGCGCCAGGTCAGACCCAAAGTTGGAGGAACCGAACCCTACTCGTTTTAAAATGTAAAGGACGGGTTGGGTAGATTTTGAGTTTGGGAACCGGACCTAACCTGGCCCGTTTCAAATGGGCGGGTTCACGGGTCCAATTACTTTTTGTTTTTCTTCCGTTATTGGGCATACTGCCAGTTTGTTTCTTTCTCCTTTTCACATCATCTTCATTCTCTCTCTCTACTCTTCCCCACTCCCAAATGAAAAACTGAAGCAACAATCACCATTTCCCTACAACAGCATCACCTGAGCCTTTGCCACCATCGATGTCTTTGACTTCAATCGTCTCTATGTCTGCAACTTTAGTCGTCTCTGTGTTTGCAACTTCAATCGGCCTCAACGCCGCCGCTTCACGATTTGGTGACAGTCTCCAACTTTTCCTAATCTTCGGCTCCTTCACATTTACTTGTATTTAGTTCGTCGGATTTAATGGTTTCTCGACTTGCAGGTGTTGAGAGGTGACTGATCTACGATATTGTCAACGTATTGGACTTGAGACTTAGGAGAGAATGAGAATGAGTCGATGAGGCTTTCGAGTTGGGAACTGAAAAGGCTGATTAAGGAAGGTTGGGAAGATGGGGTTTGTGGACTAGAAGTCGTTTTGGTGAATCGGTGATTGTCTGGGTTCGGTGATGTCGTCGAGGAAGGGAGTGGGAAAAGATGAGCTGAGTAAGAGTCTGTGAGATAAGGGAGAGGCTAGGTCACTTGGAGAAACAAATTGAAAGAAAAAATAGGATAAGGGTTTTCAGTTTCCCTATATGAAGGTTTAATGATGATGGGTGATGGACGGAGTTGATGATGACGACGGCGGACAGAGCTGGGACAATGAGTTTGGGTGGTCAGCAGCCGAGTGGGAGTCTGTTTTAAGTCCAGGAAGGAAAGTGGATAATGGATTAGGGTAAGAGAATTGCTAATGGACCTGGTTGTTATAGTTAGAAACGGGCCGTCCGGGGCCCCATTATTCCAAATCCTAGGACTCGGCCCACCCCTTAAATGACATCGGCCTACCTCGCCCCACCTTGTTTATTCTCTAAAATATTTGAAACCGGCCGTACCCATCCTGAACCTAGTCTACCCACCCCGACCCACGGTTCCTCTACCCGTTTGCCACCTTTAACGTTATCAACTCAATGAATTATTAGACAATTAATAAGGCTGAAGGCACAAATTCATACAATTTCAATACCTTTAGGGCGTGTTTGTTTGACCTTCTTAGGGGTCATTAGACTAAACTAGATTAAATGTTTGTCCAATCCAGTGTTGTCCACACTGGACTAGTTTTAATGAGACTAAAAGGGACTCGCCCCGACTGAAAACTTCGCTAGACGTTCTTAGCGAGGCCCCTCAATTTCGAGCAGATTGCTAGTCCCGTTCTTTCCCCCACCACTAATCCATCGTTGTCTCCCTTCTCCTTCGCCCCTTCGCCCTCTTCCTTCTCCTTCGTACCTTCACCCCTTCGCCCACTCCCTTTGGCCTTCACTATCTTACCCAAAAGCCTAAACCCAGACCTCAAACAAAAACTGAAAAACAATCCACTAACTCCCTTCCTTTCTTCTTCATTCAATTCACTCTCTCTCTTTCTCTCAGCAAAATCGCCATGGTTGTGGCTTTCGAGCACCGCACACCAGCTGCACAATCCTTTACCGCAATCTCAGCCCACGAATCTTGAGCATTCACGGAGCAATCTTCGCCCTTCCGAATCCACCACCGCTAAATCCTCACTCTCCTCCCCCGTCATCTCTGAACCAGTACGAGCTCGATAAGATCGCCGCCTTTGCTAAAAACTGGTGAGAGCTTCTCTTTTTTTAGATTATAGTTTTCAATTTCTCCACTTGAATTTGATTTTGTTGTGGTATGATTGTGAATTCATGACCAATGAGAAAGAAATTCATTACCAAATGAATGAAAATATAGTCATTTGTTGATTGTGTATTCAATTGATCAATGGGTATGTGCAAAAGGGTGATTTGGAAAGTGCCCAAGAGGTGTTTGATGAAATGTCCGAGAGAACTTGACTAAGTTTGGCTGAGGCTTGCTAAGTGGGAATGAGGCTGAATTTTGAGTTAAATTATTTTGATTGTGATTGTGACTAGGGTTGAATAATTTTTTTGTGGAATCAATTTTTTTAGGCTTCCAGGAAAGTATGGTCAATTGATGTTGCTTGCATCATAATTGTTCTGTGTATTTTTATTTTTGCCAGAATTTGAAACTGAGATTTAAGTGTAATATGTTGTTTGAATTTGGAACGTTGAAAGTTGTGTTTAGTTGTTAAGAAATTACTTGGAGTACTCCTATTGTTGGAAAAGCTAAAAATGGGCATCTATAGGGAGCGTTGGATAAATATATCATGATGAAAATTGTTGGAGTTAGGCATGATAAGGTCAAATTTGGTTGAAATTTTGATGTTGGTTGATATAGCATGTGTTATTTTTTATTTTTTTTCATTATCTAGCTTCTTAGTCCAACACTGCACCAAACGCTTCACTAAGTTAGTCCAGCTTAGTCTATTCTAAACCAGTCCAGCTTAGTCCTTGAAGTTAGTCCAGTCCAAGATAGTCCGGTGTTGTTTGGGCTCGCTAGATAGAAGTAGCTGGGATTGGCTTAACTTTTGTCCTAGTCCCTTGTTTGACATTGTTGAAGGATTAGCTTGGCTTCACTGCTAATACCGTCTGAAAGGTCCAAATTACCAATCCTTAACAATCCCGTGCTTCCCCATCACCACCACGACCTCTCCCTCCAACTCTCAATCCCCTCCCAATTCTTTCTCCCCATACTTCACCGGAACCCTGTGCATTCCCAGTATCTTGCCTTCGCACCCTCCCCTTCCTTTTTCTCAATGGCAACAGTGAACTATGAGAGATAAAAGAGAGATCAAGGTGGATTCTATTTAAGAAATCAGAAGCAAATCTACAATGATTGCGATTTGATCGAAGTCGGAATCGAAATCGGAGAGTATGAGGAAGCAGACTTAGCAATCAAATATTGATTTTTTTTTTTTTTTTGCGGAAGCTCTTTCTTAGAGAGTTGACAATCAAGCAACCCATTTGATGCAAACTTGTTAGAAGAATTCAATAGCCTTGATTGGGTCTTTGAATCCTTTGTTCCCTTTGCGAAAGGTAGTACAGAAAAAAAGTTAGTTTGAAACTCCGTGTGAGAGATAAGAGGTGGGCACTAAGCAAGGATAACGATGAGCAAAGATGACGATGATGGCTTGGGATAATGTTTTTGTTTTAAGAAGGAAAAAAAATTGTTGGTTTAAAAATTTGTTAGTCTTTTGTTAAAAAAATAAAAAATAAAAAATTGTTAGTCTATGACTTAGTTTGGTACTGCACCAAACGCTTTATGATTTTTATCCAGCTTAGTCCAAGCCAAGCCAGTCCAGTTTAGCCCTAAAGTTAGTCAAGTTCGAGATAGTCCGGTGCAACAAACGAATCCCTAGGGTGCAAAATGATAAAATTAAAAATTTGTGGCCCATTTTGAAAATCACCTAAAATTTGAAGTTATAAAATGTAGTTGCCATTTTTGTTAATATAATGATGTATTTACGCTAAGAAGTAGGATAATAAATTAGTAAAGAACTTGTTGTCTATAAAATTCAAACTTAAAACATCTCATTTACTATTATTTACAATTTAAAAAAAAACCTTTAATGAAAATGGCCTAACAAAAATAATTTTTATAAAAACACATAATGATTTTTTTTTTCAATTATAAGAACTAGAAACATGCCACTTAGAGTTGGTTTGGGATCTATAAAAAAAAAAAAAGTTGGTTTCGGATTGTGGTGCTTTAATAAAAAAAGCTT